GAACTCTAGCAAGGTAACGATCTGATAATAAATCATTGCACTTAAACATTCGGTGTAAAATTAAGCACACTGGACGCTAATTTAAAAAAGAATGAAAGATAAACACACATCTCAGATTACATTACGAAATTATTACATGTTTACGTATACATTTATATAATACTGCCGTCGTAGTATATTATTCTATTGACATGATCGCTATTGTTTAAATGATTTGTGTGTTACTAGCTTAACTTAATTAATAAGGAAATGGATTGATTTCATGATTTAAAATGGTAATAATCCAAGTCTCCATTACAAGTCATTAATTGTGGCATCTTTTGGCTGTCAAAAATCATAAGAAATTGTTTACTTGGTTCTGTTTTATCTTCAATTGAATTAAATGTTATAATCCCTTGTTTATCTCACAAACATAACACGATAAAATAAAGTTTTTAAAGAAGCCGAAGCGACTATGAACACTCACAATCAGATGGGCCGTAAACCTATTTGCCTGTCGAGGAAAAATAATTATGGTGATAATAGGTGTAAGGAGTTAATAAGCTTGGAATCTTATCTGAGAGCACTTTCACACGATGTCACTCTCTCTCTTGTCAGAAAGTCACTTATAGGACACGTAGGGTTGTCGAGTTTGATAAATTTATAAAGTTAGGGATTAGCCCAAAATCTTTTTTTTTTTATCATTGAAGGATTACTGGTGGCCCGGAGGCCTTTCCAGTTTCACCAGGACAGGTGGGCAAGCAAAGGCTCAGCCAGGAGGGGTGGGATTTGCTAACAGCTACCCGAGCGCCTCCGAAGGAGACCTAACAGCTCAAGAGTAGCTGCTTCGCGAATGAATCTACTACCGGATCGGAATCGCGACCCGCTGAGAAGATCCGGCGAGAAACTCAGCGAGCTGATTTATGGGTTAGGTTGCACGGCGAACTCTTTGTCGAGTTCGCCGAGTACGGTTACCGAGGTCCCTAAGCCTGCTCCTAGTGTTAGAGCTGAAGGCGTCTAATGCAAAGGTTATTGGATCTGATGGATCCGTAAGGACGTGTCTAGGGCGTCGACGGTGACTGGCTCCTGCGTGATTAGGATTCGGGGAGTAGTCAGCGGCGGCAACGATAAGGCGATTATCATGACGCATAGCCTTATCGAAGTACCGTTCCGACGCTGACTTCATGTATTTCTGATAGATTCGAGGAACAGGTCGTCGTGTAGGTCAACGTTCCTCACGAACCACGGAGCTCCGACGGCTAACCTGCAAAAGCGGGATTGTAGAGATTGGAGGGTGTCTATGTGTGTGCGAACACCACACTCGCGTAAGTCATGACGGGCCTTATGCAAGTTTTGTAAAGTGTCACCTTGTTCCGAATGGACATTTTACTCCGCTTACAGATCATGGGGTAGAGTCTACCGAGAATAAACGCGGCACGGTCACGGACTGATTTTATATGCGGGCGGAATGTCATCGATGCATCCAGGGTAACGCCCAGGTACTTGANATTTTATATGCGGGCGGAATGTCATCGATGCATCCAGGGTAACGCCCAGGTACTTGACCTTCCTGGCCCAGGGTATGGGTTGTCTAAAGAGAGTAATCGGGGGTGTGAGATTCCTCCTCCTAATCCGGGAGGAAATCCGTGTGGAGCTTCCCCTCTGAAATAGCACCGCAGTACTTTTCGCTGGGTTGATGTCTATGCGAGCCCAAAATCTATAACATAGCGTTGGCGATGAAAATGACCTTAATAAATAAATGGTAATACATTACCATGTCATGATAATTGCATTAAATGAATAAAGTCCTTTGGACCCTGAAATGCTGCGTTTAAAGCTGACGTTACTAGGGGGTGCAATAGATGCGCGGGTGCGGGTAGCGCGGGGTGGGTCGTCGCAGCACGGACCTGAGTCATATCCCCTTTGGCTACTGTTGCCCTGCGAAACGGAACGCTGCGTTACAACTCCAATTAAACTGAAATATGGACAAATGTTACATGTGCACACAACAGACTTCTACTACTACTGAGCTGGCGCTATGACCCCGAAGTGGGTCTTGGCCTCCGACAATAAACTTTGCCATTCATCCCGGCGCTGCGCAACACCTTGCCAGTCCGACACTTGGAGCTCCCGTAAATTTCCTTCTACAGCGTCACACCAGCGGTACTTGGGCCTCCCTACGGGGCGGCGTCCCTCCGGTACACCCGTGTACACCCGTTTCACAGCCCGATCCTGCTCCATACGTACTACATGTCCGAGCCATCCGAGCCTCCGTGCCTTCATCTCCCCCAGAATATTTGGCTCACCAAAAAGCCTCTCCACATCCTTATTTTTCCGGACGTGCCAAGAACCGTCTTCTTTCCGAACTGGTCCTAGTATTTTTCTCAATACCTTTCGCTCCGTCACGAGAAGTTTTGCCTCTTCTTTCTGTGTGAGCGTCCATGCTTCGCATCCATACAATAGGATCGGTCTGACTAGAGTCTTGTATATCCGAATCTTGGTGCGCCTGCTTAGTAGCTTCGAAGAGAGAACCGGGTGTAGGGCTGCACTGCATCGTAGGGTATTTTGTATACGAATTTCGATTTCATCTTCCCTGTCATTGGTGTCTGTTACAGTGCAGCCAAGGTACCGGAATTTAGCCACTCCTTTGAACCTCGTATTTCCCACCACTAGGTCTTCTCGCTTCCGTCTTACGTTTTTATATCGACGCATGTGAAGATATTCTGTCTTCTCGTGGCTCACGCGAAGGCCAATCCGAGAGGCTTCTTGTTGGAGGCAGTTGAGTGCGTCTATAACGTGCTGCTTTCTTTCTCCAAGTAGAGCGAGGTCATCGGCATATCCTATCACTCTATGCTGTCCATTGAGCCACACTCCGCCACTAAGTGTGTTCACTTTCCGTATGGCGTGTTCAAGTGCTAGGTTGAACAGCATTGGTGACAGAGTGAATGACGGTACGAGTTGGCGCTTCTCTCACTGATGAGTTTGACGTTGTGACTGGGCTCAGGCAGGGGGAACAGACTTCTAATACATTCAATTTTTTCTAAAGATATTGCTTTTAAGGTTCATTATTTTACTACAAAATAAACGTAGGATCAACCCTACCAGTGCCGATTATTCTATTGAGTGTATTACGGTTTTCTGATTGAAAAATGACTGCCGGTCGTCTGCCCCTACCGTTGAACCCTTATTGGGACACGTTTCATTGAACCCTATCGAGGACATGCGCTTATTGCTTCTGAGAAACAGGGTAACCAGGCTTTCAAAGTGTCTGTGGAGTAACAAGCACTCAGGATACTCACTGAGTTCATGTAATAGAATTCCATAATTTGGTGCAAGTCTTGTTTGTTTTGCTCAAATATTTTACCTAACGTCCACGAGTGATATACAGTACTAAGGAATATCAGTTTTGATTAAGGTTGAAGTCAAAGTCTACTCACGATCTGACGGCTACCTTTCAGGCAAGAACGAATTCAGGCGTGTTTTATTACTGTACGAAACCATATTCAGTTTGTTTAAGAATCGGCAATAAAATATTTTTCTTATGTATCACAATTTTTTGGATTATTTGTAAAATTTATAACTACTTAAAGAACATTGGAAAGAAAAACCCAAGGCCGCTTCCATTTGGGATTCACTTTTGAAGCTATTTAGAGATTCCATACTAGACTTTTCTCATGTGAAGAACATATAAGTACGTTGCAATCCCCATCAAGGACTGAAATAAAGTAATTATATGTATTTCAATACGCGGTTTCGCAAATTTCGGTTCAGGAGCGGTGGAAAACGAATGATCAGCCCTTTGTACAATTTAGAGTCAAAATAATGGCCTGTCTACAGTCGATCAGGACACGTTCTCGACTACACATCCCTTCATCAGTCATTGGGCACCGTTATTTGTCACGTACGAGATGTATGACAGTATTTATTGTTGCTCGTATATCAGGGTGCTCCGTAATACGGTCGGAGCGGATAATTGATGGGTCATTCATATACGTCGGTTCGCGTTTTGAAACAACAACGTTTTGATCAAACTTCTTTCTCATTTGTGAATAATAAATGATTATTTCGCGAGTTATTATGTCTCCTTTGATATAATTGAGGGAAAAACTAAGTTACGTTGATAGGCAGACGGCCGACAGTCCATTTAGTGGTAACTGATTTTCGGAGCCAAAATGTGGTTTGTTGCGCATTTGGTATTCTATCAGAAATTTAGGCCCTTTCACACTACTTATTATACTACATAGTATTTATACTTTCACACTACATAGTATAAAACAAAGTCGCTTTTTCTGTCCCTATGTATGCTTAAATATTTAAAACTCCGCAACGGATTTTGATGCGGTTTTTTTTAATAGATAGAACTATTGAAGAGGAAGGTTTATATGTATAATAATATCCATTAAATAGTGGAGACATTAATAATAAATTACAGTTTCCGAAGCGAAGCGAGGGCGGGTCGCTAGATGTAAATAAATTGAAGACATTTTGTTTTGGTTTCGAACCAGTACCGCCCGCCAAATGCTGACCACCAGTAGGCCACGTTACAAAGTAAATGCACTGTACTGTATAGTATTACGTGGGCAGTTAAGATTGCATCTTCGGACGTTGCTCCCGACTTACCCATGTACGAATAACGTTCGGTTTTTGCTATACGTTCTACAACATTGTAGTGTCCTTTGTATTTAGTTGTGTTATTGGGTTGCTGTAGACGTATTTTTCTGTGAAGAGTGAATTTTCTGTGGGGGTTTACGACAAAGGGAAGATCTTCTACCGAGCGGGTAATATTACGCGTAATATTGACCGACGGTCCAAATGTTGTTGTTCGGAACTTGTGTATATGATTGATGAGATTCAGGCATGTGTCAAATATCTTGTGTTCTATGATGGTTAGCGCCACATTATTGTTTATTTTGTTAGCAACACTATTTTTGTTTTAAGATATAATTGGCTTTACGCCTGAAGAATTTTTTTAAAGCTTGTCCAGTTGTGCCTATTTCTAACAATAAATTTCGTTGTTCCAGGTCAAAAGGCGACATGGCGTCGCCAAGATTTTCGACCGTTTTGCTGGCAGCATTCCATCTTTTTACCGTATGCTGGGGAGGTGAGTTAAGAAATAATTTTCTACCTTTAAGATATTGACGTTACCGATGTCTAAGAAGGCAACGAGCATTATCAATCAGCACAAATTCATAAAACGTTACAAAATAACGTGATCAGTACTCGAAACAATAAAGATCATTTCCTTGAAAATTCTTTGTATTTTGAAGTTAAATATATCCTTGACTTTAATTTATTGAGCACAACTGCCAGTCCAACTGAATTCTTCTCTTGCTTCTGTCACGGCGGATGCGTTAGCGCCAGAGCGACTAAAATGATATTATTTATACCAAAAAAAATAACTCAAAACTCAGTAATCGGTGGCCAAGTCTTTTTTCCGCATATTATGATGAATCACGATGTGAAGGTTATGAAATATTGCGTCAGATTCGGAGACGCAAAGTTTATGACAAAATTGTTTTTTTTTTGTATTTCAAATGATGGCGTTAAATACTTAACGAGTAATTAAAGCGATATATGAGAAATTAAAGTAATTTGCAAATCATAAGTTAGTAAACTAGTCAATCGTCAAGATGTTAACTCGATAAGAATATCGTCGTAGGCTATTTCGATAAAAGTGACATAAGAAAATGTACGTGTTATGCGCGTATATTCCAGATCAGTAATGAATTCCTTAGACATTCCATCTCCATAGCGATAGTGAGATGAGCGCGCTCATTCCGACCGCTTGCTGGTATGTAGCTGTCACAATTATAAAATATTTATGTAATGTATATAACTGTCATTTAAATTAAGATGACAACAAAAGAACTGAAAAAGACGTGTATTGTGTGTAAAGAATTATGTTATGTAATATTCAGCTGTGAAAGATGCTTTATTATTTTATTGCACCAACTCCGACTATTCGCTTAGGGAGTCCATAAATCGCAGAATTACAGTATCACGGGTAGAAATGAAACTTAATACGGCTTTACTTAGGAAGACAAATATATATTATATATACATTATATACTCGCTGGGCTAGATTACTGTGAAGATAGCGTAGTTACGAAGCAAGTGACTTCGGAAGGTACATGTATTTCCAAGGACAAATTGTTTTTTTTGAGTTTAAGGGGTGAACGTAATCCCATCACTAAAGAACTGACACATAAATGTCTTAAAACTCTCTAAGCTAACTAAAGAAATGTACATAAGTACATCGACGAATAAGTGAGTAAAATTGGAAATGGGTAAAATTAATTAGAGATAACTCCGAAAAACTTTCTTAAAGAAATAAAAGAAAATCTTTGAACATGGAAACGACTTGCGAAAAAAATGAACATTAAATCAGCTGTCAATAAAATTGGTCGCAGTAACTTACCTCAGCGCGTCCGTTGAGTCACGCGAGGAATGCCGTTTGACCGCCGCCCCCCTCCCCTGACCCGTGTCTAGTCCATGGGAATTGCATGGCTGTCCTCATCTAGTCATTAGTAAGGCTAAAAATAAAACTGCCCGGCGTCCTGTGGGTGTTCAGCGCCTCAACAACGTTAAAGGAACCTTTGTTCTTACGTGCCTTTTTAATCACGTTTTATGACGAGACCTTATATTTGTAGTATGTTTTGGTGATTTTAATTTGGTGTAGTTTTAAAATATAGATATTAAATTGCTTTTTCATAATTTACCTAATTATTTGTTTAGATTGATAGAACTAGTTCATTAATGCGTGTAAATGCAAATGGTGGGGTTATGTTCTAAATTCGCACGGGTCGGTAGCACTGTCCTATCTATAATACAACTGAAATGTCGACTGTGGGTCGCAAGCCCGTCCGCAATACACAAAGCATCTGTTTAATTTAACACAAAGTAAAGTTCAAAGAAAAGCTCACAGCGAAAGTATCAAACGCGGTAAGCTCGTCAAAGTAAAATCACTGAAACAGAGGTATGTATTTCAAACGAAACACGTCTTCTTTGACTCGCTTAAGATCTTTGAGTACTTTAACGTTATTTCGGTTTTTACATTTTATTTCCAAGTGGTTGTGTATTGCCGACTCTGAATATTGTCGAGAAGAATATTCTGAGGACATTTCTCCCGTTGCGTTGGTCGTCATTTTTATCCTAATCTTAAAATCATCATAATATGTATTTAATTTACTAAACAGCAGTTTAATAAAGAATTCTTAGAAGTCTTTGAAACATTAATTACGGATTTCGCTTGTAAGTTTGATCATATCGTATGTATTGTTGAATGTCTGAGGAATTTTCAATCTGGTCGCGGTATTAGCAGATGAAGTAGATTGATTGATTTTAAATTATAATTATGCTTACCTAACTTCATATTGTGGTTAAAACGATTCGTTGCAGAAGTACTGATTAATTCATTAGTACCTACATCTCCAAACTTCATTTCTTTGTGGAATTTAATTAAAATTTCTTCATAGCAATATCCTTTTCTTCTGAAACAAATTGTCATACAAGTTTTATATTAAAGTACTAAGTTTCTATTTTATATTAAGTTTTATATTGTTATTTTTCTTAGCATTTATTGTATTAAAGAATAAGTAGATATCGTGTCTATTGGCATAATAACATTAATATAATATCTGGCTTGTCCCTGTGTCCAAGTTGCTTTATAGTTTCGATCCGTGATGGGAAAAATGCGTATTCCATATCTTTACATTCTCTAAATTATGTAAATATTTATACTCTTGTGGAGTACCTTTTATGTTTCTTCGTTGATATTTCTACTTAAGCCAAATGATCAACCTGATCTCGAGTGGTCAGTGATCAAATAGACCGATAGTACTAGTGGTAACCCACAGTTGTTAAGGCCAGAGGTTAACTCATCAAGCAATTTAAATTAGGGAACCGAGCGGCTTGTGTCCAACTTCATTCAACTTCAACTTCATAGTCCGAAGAGAATTTGTATTCCAAATCGGACTGGGCGAAGTATCGACTTGATAAAATTGCGTACAGTAAAAATTTAACCTTCAAAACTATCGGAACATTACACACTAACAAAAAGTACATACATTCCAATTTAAGTTCAGAATACGAACCTGTTTCACATTTATAAGGTACTGTCTTTAATACTCATTGCGGTCCAAGCAATAAAAAACATTACGCTGTGATAAAAAGGTTCATTTAAGTTCATATAGCTTATTTGGATGGATTTGAAAGGGCTTTTTAATTAAGATACACAACAACACAGCATTAATTATCTGGCGCGATAGCGTTGACCGCTCCAATATAACACAGAACTTATAGGGCAATAATTTGGTTTATATGAGTATTAAATGAAATACATAACAAACTTTGTTTCGTGGCGGACAGGTGATTTTAAGTTTAATCGGTAATAGTTCGCTAGACATAGCTATTGCCAGATGGCAAAGAACAAGAAAACGTTTTTGTTGCATAGAAATAATTAGATCGCGGCCCATGTGTTGTTAAATGGTTACTGAAGCCCGTGGACATTAATTACAATGTGAATGCCGTCGTTCATCTTAAAACATGAGGTCTAAGTCCCAATCGTGTCAGATTCAGATCTGAATCAGAACATATGACTTATTCGCGACCGATATACGTACCATCACCACCAGCCACACTTGCAATCGTACCACCAGTAAAAATAATTTAAAAGTAAAAATGCAAAATTATGTTCACATAATTGTAAGTAACTTAAATTGATAGAGCTTCAATTTTGTCGCTTAACAATATTGCTATGTAATATTGACGCATCACGTGACAAACATTGCAATAATGATGTGTCCGCTTACGTTTCTACGTCACGGAATAAGTTTTTGCAGTTGAATTAATAGTTGATAGATTAGTGTTGATGACGTCATCAACATCAGGCTGTGTGTTACTCGTATTTTGTGTTGTCGTGCGTGGCCCCGTCGTGTAGAATCGGGCAAGCGTGTGCAGCAACACGCGGCGTGAAGAGTTCCGTAGATCGCAGTCGTCCGTCGGATTTAATATAAATTTCATAACACCAAGTCGAAATTTTCAGGATCTTAAAAAATAAAATGAAAACTACATGTCGTAATTGCATTGTTTTATGACCGAATTCGCCTTTTATGTTCAATTGTATATATGTTACTTTATGCACACTTATTGCTGTCAATTTAAATGAAAGATTACTTTGGTTAGTAGTAAATAGACCAAATAGCATTATGTCATTTAAAGAATTCGGGTTGTTTATAAAACATAACATGTATACGATATCTCCACACTCAAATTTCATATCTAAATAATAATATAACAAATCGACTTCAATAATTACGAGCATCGAATAGATACTCTCGCACAAATTTAGAACAGACCATTTCCTCTCATTCACATAAGATGTTAATTTTTCAATTTTTTGTTTTACTTTTTTATTTTAGTTTTAAAGTTTTCACTTTAGGTTAGATTTAACTTCAATGTCGTTCTCGTCGAGCCCTTCGTCGAGAGAACGACATTAACCCTCAGACACAGCCCAGATCTGGTGGTAGATGCTGCGAAGCACGGCTCTTGCTAGGGTTCGTGTTAGCAACGTCGTCAGGTTTGAGCCCCGTGAGCTCACCTACTAGTTAAGGTTCCGCTGATATAGCCTCTCAACGCTATCAGCTTAGCTAGAAAAACAAACTTCCATGAAAAGAGAAGAGAAGCTAGAAAAACAAACTCCAACAATTTAAAAAAAAACTCTACTTTCATTATCAGAATTTACTATGACGGAAGGCAAGATCACGCCTTCGCTAGAGTCCACAGGATATCAAATTTGGTTGCCACCATCCTCCACAACCACTTTGGAATATAGGGTCTACTTTCACTGCGAAGTGCGGTGTCTCAAGAACTGAGTGCTACTGACTGCTGTACGGGGTTCTTCATGAATTTAGTCGGGCGATTAGGACTGTGAAGGCCTACATAGAGCGGACGGTCAAATCTTGTTGCTTGGAGCTTGTATAAATAGGAATGTAAGCGTGTCGACGTCCTTAGCGCGATTTAGGATTCTGTCAAATATTTACTATTCTTTGATGGCTGCCGCTAGATTACAGGGTACATTTACCCAATGCTAAATATTTCAATTATCAAAATCATTATTTCAGTTTCTAGATTTTAATACATTATCCGAGTCAGTGCCAAGTGAATATACTAAAAGGAATCGGAAGGGCTGAAACATTTAAGCTGTAGAGTCTAAAAAGGATTTTAGATGCGTCATGTTGCTCTTACTCCAGGACCAGCCCTGACACAGCACTAGCCGCTAACAAAATCTTATTAGGTTTGAACAGTCCCTCTCGTCGCGACAAGGCAGTTAACACAAAAAACCATGATCGTGTATAACAAATACGGCACACCAATAAATATTTGGTTGTGACAAGTTTTGTGACGTCATTGTTACATATTTGCTCAGCATATTTGCCTTGTAACACGTGTGTCTGCCGAATCTAATATTTTTGTAGTCGATATTTTAGTGGGAAAGCAAATAATGTTTATTCATTTTGTAATTTGCTGTGTGATTTTTAGGATTCCGCAGCTGAATACTATGGAATGAACCTTTAAAATGTACCATTTTATCCAGATTCTTTATCCAGATCCTTTGTCCCGTGGCCCCACACAGTGTTCCCTAGGTAGATTGACCGAACTCAAAAAGTTTGTAATTAATAAAAGATAGTTCAATAACACGAAGGCATACATTATGACGTAAAAGATTGAAGGTGTGAAGATTAGAAAATATTATTAGGTTTTAGAGGTTACGAGAAAAAATAACATTCAGAGACATCTTTATATTCCAAAGGCAGTCAAATCAGAGAAGCTCAAACCAAATTAACTCTAGTTCAAGCGCCCTAAAATACAAAGAGGAAAAGAAAAAGAAATTTAAGCGCTCAAATAAATCAACGGAGCCTCGCTCTGTCAGTGATTGCCGACTTAAATCAAAAGTTTTGTAAGGGATTCTGTCAGAAGCGGGGGGTGAGAAGGGGGTAGAAGTGCGGAAAAGGGTAAAAGACTTCTGTTCATGATGTGATAGCGCTGTTTAATTTTTGTCGCAAAATATCTGTTTTGTTAATCTCGAACGATTTTAATTATTTTAACGTATTAATTTAACGTGAAGGAGTGCATTGTAGAAATTATTGACACAGCCAGGCATAGTGGAAGTATCGAAAAGTTCTAAATGGATTGTGTTAACAAATCGTATGCTTACTTATCTCATGCCAAATAAGAAGCTATAAAAACATAGATTAAATGTTCAGCTCCAAGGACGAACCGCAACCAGTCGAATCATGAATGGTCTGCCTTCCTTTTATATTCCGAGGGGAGGGTGCGCTCCATCCGTCATCCCAATCTGTCGCAAGGAGCAGGGTTTGTCTGAATGAGCTTTGCTGAGTGGAAATTAGTTGGTCATTCTGTTCTCGAGAGGGACTCGATGAGAGGCGAGTCGTTGGATAACCTACATTAAAAAAAATCGGTTGTCTGTAAAGTCGGTTTACTGACGATAGTTGAACGTGACAACGTCATAAGATAATACTGATGGAATGGTTTCATTTTTCAAAAGAAAATTTTAATTTTATTTGTTTGATAGATAGTTTGTATGGAAATAGAGAAGGAGGTAAATGGAAATCACTATTGAATTGATCGTGACGCTTTAACTTCTCTCATGACGTTTTCAATGTTCTAATTAGACTGGAATTGACCACGGCGTTCCATGACGCGATCTTTGTTGTCATCAAATAATTGGAGAAATTTATTGCCAGCTTAGCCACGTGATCGTGGAACGCCTCAAAGCGAGGGCGAGGTAACGCCGCATGAGTCATGTTTTTTCGTGCGTGCAGCCGGCTCCATCGAATTATAAGACGTTGTCACGTCAAATAATAACTGATTGTGGTTCAATCTATATGTTAATACGTGAAGCAAAAACTTTGTATCCCTTTTTACGAAAATTGCGCGGACGGAGCAGTATGAAATTTTCCACACTTATAGAGAATATAGAGAAGAAGCGCACAATGCTAATGTTTTTTTAAAATAATGCAATACAGATACATTAAATCAATAAAGAAAACATTACACACACTACATACCATGTATTTGACGCACACACGCATGCATACTATTTACTGTCAAACTTTTGTTCTTGGCGTCTGTTGTCAAATTGAGAATAGATTAAATATTGTTTGCCTTTGTTAATATTTTTTATAGTGTAGTCTTGGCGAAATTTGTGATTATGAAGTATAAAATACAATCATAATAGTGTACAAACTTATAATTCCAATTAATTATAGTCGAATTTCGACTACTGCGGGACCTCTAGTATCGATAATTGTGCGAACACAAACTATAATTTGACATTGAATGCAATTTAGCAGCAAAAATATTTGAAATTTGTATATATTGTGAGTGTGTGTGTGCATGTTTAATAGTGCTTTAAATTAGCCTATAAATTTATAACTTGACGTTGATATATGATTACATCTCACTTCCCTTGTTGCCAGGTCCGGTGGGTCCGCTACCGAATGTAACGAGCGTCGATTTGGGACTTAAGGAAGGTTTGTATAATAAAGGATTTGAAATATTTATTTTATTTTATGATTCACTGGAAAGCTTACTTTTCATATTATTTGCTTATAATAATAGCTGGATAGTGTAATTTTCACCGAGTGATCGATGCTATTATTTGGCCAAAACAGAGAGAATCTGGCTGACTGATAATGTTTGATGCTTGAATGAAAAGAGGTGGTAAACATTCCTGGTACTGAATGCTAGCTACTATTTTTGCTTTAACAACAGTCGTTCTTACATCCCTATCTTATTTACTAACTTTTTAAATATTATATTTATAATATTATAATATTTTAAATATTTAATATACATATTATTATAAACTTTTTAGTCTTCATTTCATAACCCTTTACAAAATATTTTTGTAAATCAAATCAACTGATATCCTTTACATTTTCATCCAGCCTAGTCTTACCTTTTCTAAAAAAAAATCGCCAAATTTTCCTTTCATGTGTTATTTTCCAATTCTTATCCTCTTATTATCGAATCTATTATTTTCTGTTCTATGCGTTCTGATCCATCACAAATTCGGTCTGCGCATTTCCTCTTTAATAGTTTGACCCTTCTCACAATTAGCTATTGAAGTATTGACAGACATGGCTCCTATTTTCTTGTTTCTTCTTTTGTCAATGAAGAACACATTATAGCTATTTTATTTATTAATGCTTATATACTCTAATAGTTCACGCTGTGTGATTTCTTTCTTAATTCGTGTTGCTCCGTTAGGACTTCACTGCTAATAATTAACATTTTATTACTTTTACCAATACAAACCATACAACGCGAATTCTGATTCATCTTTTGGCCTTGTTGTAGTTAGGTGTAACCACATTAGGTTCTTGGGCTCAACCAACTGTCTACTCCCACGTATAGGGCTGCAACCATGCTATAGAGTATTCATTATAATTGTAAGTCATTTTAGCGTTAACACTAAAATATATAGTTAAATACTAAATTTCTAGAGCGATAGTACATAACATTATCGCGTGTTACATAAATTGGTTATAGAAGCACGTTGTAGCGCACGTGTGTTTGTGTGTATGTGCAATTATAAATAATTGGATTTTGTTCCGTTTCCTCGGACCTAGCTATCGACGGTTTTGTTTTATGCAAAATTCTAAGTCTGAACTACATGAAACTAGAATTGATTTGATTGAAATAAGCAGGTCACCGACTTGCAACCTAATTTCCTTACCTATTCGCTGGTGGCCTAATGGGCTATCCCAGTTTCTCGCTGACGACGGGACGTGCAACCTAGCTCACAGACCCTGGTAGCTTACTGATGGTAGGACCTCTTGTGAGTCCGCACGGGCAGGTACCACCACCCTGCCTATTTCTGCCGTGAAGCAGTAATGCGTTTCGTTTTGAAGGGTGGGGCAGCCGTTGTAACTATACTTGAGACCTTAGAACTTATATCTCAAGGTGGGTGGCGCATTTACGTTGTGGATGTCTATTGGCTCCAGTAACCACTAAACACCAAGTGGGCTGTGAGCTCGTCCACCCATCTAACCAATAAATAAACAAAAAAGCCCACTGAGTTTCACGCCGATTCTTCTCAATGGGTCGCGACTCCGATCCGGTAGAGTCATCTAAACACTGTTTTTGCTACGGCTAGTGTTAGCAAATACTCTCAGGTTGAGCCTGGGAACTCAACTACCAGTCCGCCCGTTGTTGGAATAGGTTACCAAAGATTAGGTAGAGGGAAAAAAACAAAGGTGAATCGGAACACACGATTAGCTTTCTTCTAGTAGTAGATAATGATAAGACGACAGTAACAACTGTACTGGTTTCCAGCGCGATCTAAATCCAGGAAAATGTGGCTTGAAGCATCCACCAACTAGCATCAATTAACTGCACATTACCCAGTGCAATTTGAAACTGAGGAGTAGTAAATAATTGAAATATTTATTGAATTAGGAAGGTCCTTTTTCCCTTCATCGGCACAAAGTAGTCCACAGATTAGCATAAGCGTCACTTAATCCTTAACACTGAGTTAAACTAAGAAGAAAGTCAAGTTTTGTGTAGCATAATACAATCCACATATTGCATCAATTTATTATATATTCTTAAAAATATTCTATAGCATATCTATTTCCTGATTTTCCAGGTAGTTGCGCGCTAGGAGACGTGGTATATCTACCCGGAGACGAATTCCCAGGTTCAGACCCCTGCGAGAAGTGCAAGTGCTCCGATGGAGGAGGAGTCCAATGTGAGAAGCAGCAATGCGAATCCAGGCCTGGCTGCAAGGCTGTGCATCGACCCGACCATTGCTGTCCAACGTATCAGTGTGGTACGTAGCCGATGAGCATATAAAACCTAACCGTTGCGCATACTGTTGACGCTTTGACGACATCCTAACACGACTACATCCTAACACTACATGTACGTCTTTAAATTGAATAAAATAAACGGCAGGTTAGTAGGGTGCGGCCACGTGTGTCCTGTGAAAAGTGCCAACGCATAGAAATATTAAAAAATAGATTATATTTCTTATTTTGACGTTCGCGTTACAAACGTTTTGAAACATTCCGGTCCGGCGTGGTTAATCAATTTGCGCCCGCACTTAATCAAGCACACATCACCTGAAAAAAAAATTACAATAATATTTCTGTCGTGGTCCTACAAGGACGATAATCACTTGTTGACTTTTGGGAAGACATTTGAGATTACCTTTTGCTTTCCGAATAATGACAATATAGTCGTATTATCCTTCAGGCCACTACAACTTCACAATATCCTGGAATATCGGTGACTTTAAACAATCAGGTAGATTCATCGTCTTCGTAAGCTATTCAAACACGCTTACCATATTGTTGTCATGCCACGGTCTAGGCTTTTTAAGTCATCAAAAGCTAAGTGAAATAAATATGAAAAATATATTTTAAAATACACCTTTTAGCTGCATATTTTGAGGGAGGATTTGTAGATAAGAAAGGAAGTTTTATGGTTGAGTCTCGGGCTAAATATACATATTTATTTGTTGTTTCGATTACCATTGTTTTGAATACGCGCACTTGTCGTGGTCATTTCGTTTTTGATTTATTGCAAAGAATCGAATGTCAACTTATTTATCGAAATTTGATAGCTTAATAGTTTGTATGCAAACGATTTCACAATTAAATAGTTCAAATTAATTACTCACTTCTTCAATATATAGGCATAAAATAAATCATCGAATATTCTAATAGTTCTGAAGATTATAAGTTCAATTTAATACCATTCATTCCTTTTCATTCCAGATTGCGAGCAAGAAGGCCGTGTCTACGACAACGGTGAAAAGTTGGTCGATCCTGCAGATCCCTGCCGCGTGTGCTACTGCCAGGGGGGAGAGGTAGTCTGCAGACGGATCGCTTGCTTCGTCAGAGATGACTGCACTCCTCGGCTTGTGCCCGGTAGATGTTGTCCTGAATACGACAACTGTCCTGTCAGAGGTGAGTTTCTCGTTTCTCTTATAAAAGATATCATATAAAACCTGACAGTTACACAACTAGTTATGAAGAGTGAAATGCATAGACTTGGTCAGCTAAAGTGGCAGTTACTTATAACTAAGGTATTTACAATGAAGACCATAATACATGCACAGTATGATGCGAGAAATGAAATGGATAGATTAAGCTCTAAGGTTAAAAATGCAAGTAGACTCTGCAGGCAAAAGACTTAAAACCAATCTATTTGAGGAAAGGCTTGAACTTTTTACATCTGGGTATATGGCTAATTCCTTCTTCTTCTTTGGAAATCTCTTTAACCGTTGTACCATCAATCCCATCGCTGATGGATAATAAAAACAAATTATTTTGTGTCATCCTACTTAATTTAACTCGTATATAAATAAGTAAGTAATTAAAAGAGAGTAGTAGTTGTAGTACTTAGGTTGGTAGTACTTAAACCTGGATATTGTGGTATAATATGATCAACGTCACCCATCCTTAAAAACGTGGGCTACTAAAAAAGAAGAAACAAAGAGATAATTCTCAAATTCTAAAATCTAATTTTTCCCGCTATAAGGCTGTTGCGTTGCTTAGCGTTAGAATTAGACAGCGGCACTAACTCCTCAGACTCTCAGACTTAAGTAGTAGAAGCCATCACGTAACCTACTAACTTACAGTCTAATAAACTAAAATTTACCATTTTGAGATTTCAAAATCTGTAGCATTTTTTTTTTTTTTTTTTTATTGCCCTTGTAGGCGGACGAGCATACGGCCCACCTGATGGTGAGTGGTTATCGTCGCCCATGGACTTCAGCAATGCCAGGGGCAGAGCCAAGCCATACAAGCATGTTTGTACGTACCGAATTCTTGATGGAAGTGGGGCGGAAGTAGGCTAAAACCGCAATGGTAGTAAAATTTTGATTACGTGATTTATTTACAGGGGTAACCATGCTTCCTGGCGTCTCTTCCTTGCCGCCCAACCTTTCACCTACAGAAGATATCAAGGGTAGTGCTGCACCAACTGCTCCTAAAGAAAATCTTAAACAAGAATTCACTATTAAGGAAATAACACCAGTATCTGAGATTCCTATAATGAATGATGTGAAAATTAAAAAGATCTTACCGTTTCCAAGTATCGACGTTGCCGAGTATTCGTCGTCGAAGTCTCCTCCTATCACAAGAGAAGCTACTTCTGAGATATCCGTTAAAACAGAATCTGAAATCGTCAAAACAGACGCTCCTACGATCACTGAAGTCCATCAGAAAGAGAGTGACAAGAAGCCAGATGATACACAGCCCTCTAAAATAAGTTTTTCTACTCAAGATTCTATTAACAGTGATATTTATTCGTCGAATGAATCAACTGTCACAAATGGATTACCTACAGCTCCATCTGTGACTACAACTAAAGCACCGATCATTGAAGAAGAAGACACATCACTTTTTGATCATAACCCAGCATTCCCACCTATTCCAGACGATTTAGCAGTCTTGAGCAACCACGGAGATGAAATCGTACCCGAGCCATCTGCAGAGGGCGACCACATGACTGTGCACGACACCGTTCCCAGCTTGCCTTCAATAGAGCCAAAGCTTGAAGAACCTATTGAACCTAAAGAAATCTCTGACATTATACTGACAACTGAAAAGCCATCGGTCACTTCAATCGAAACTAGTACAACAGCTAAACAAGAAAGCACTACAGTTGTAGAACAGCTCAAAGAAAGCCCAATGCTTAATTTGAGGTCCGCTATACCAACTGAGATACTCAACGCTCCATCTCTTGTACCAGCAGACACCGGGGAGCCGTTAGATGATGGCATAACTACTGATGTACCAGAAATATCCTCAACCACAGAGGAAACCGAAACGTCTAAAGAAAGCTCTAACCACACTATCGAAGTTTCTGAAACTCCTGTTATCGAATCTTTTGCTACAACTACAGGTGCAGAATTAGACACAACCACACCTAAAGTATCCACTGAACATGAAATTGAAGTCACCACTAAAGACCTGGAACAAACGACCAGTTCGATAGCAAAATCAAATAGCGCAACGGAAGTGACGTCTCATACTGAAATTAGTTCTTTACCGATTGAAACGAGTGATCAAAATCCACACGAGTCTGAAGCTGTGGTGAAAGATAAAATCGTAGACTCTACTATCGACCCTTTTGCAACTAGCGCTAAGGTTTCACCGTCTGAAGTAATAACCGTTTCAAAGGCGGTGTCAAATGAAGATAACGTATTTGAAAACGTTGAAACTACTGAATTTATTTTAACATCGTTTGGCTCTTCCGAAACTGCCACCGATTCTGTCGAATTGATCAAAATATCTGGTGATCCTGAGAAAAGTGCTCAGATAGTTGTAGAGCCTGAAGAGAAGAGGAATAGTGTACTCGCTGATTTAATTAATCTAGTTNCCGTTTCAAGGGCGGTGTCAAATGAAGATAACGTATTTGAAAACGTTGAAACTACTGAATTTATTTTAACATCGTTTGGCTCTTCCGAAACTGCCACCGATTCTGTCGAATTGATCAAAATATCTGGTGATCCTGAGAAAAGTGCTCAGATAGTTGTAGAGCCTGAAGAGAAGAGGAATAGTGTACTCGCTGATTTAATTAATCTAGTTAGCGACGTAGCCACGATTAACGACCACACTGAAAACCCTAATAAGGAACAAGCACCGAAACCAACTAGTATATCTGATTCTGAAGAACTCATACCAGTCAACGCTGGGTACAAAAGCAAGAACAGTAATTATAATCAAAACTCTATAACTGAAATTCCTTACAAATCAAAAAATACTCCAGGAAACCGTCAAAAAGTAGTCGAAATAGAAGACGACGAATCTGAGAGTATTACTGATCTTCCGGCACCACACGACAAGGTGGAACCTACCACACGCCGACCGATTATCGATAATGTGTCGGACAAAAAGATGGAGAACAAAACTCAGGAAAAAGATACCGAAATCATAACGCAGTCTTACGTCCCGACGATCAACAGACGGCCGATAAAGGTCATCATGAAGAAAAATAACGACAGGCCGGTTACTGAGTCACCCGAAGGCTCACTGGTATCTGTCTCGAGTGAGGCCTTTACTGATGACATAACCGACACCACAGAGAATAGCGTGGCTGCAGAGGAGAAGAAACGTACAGAAGATTCCACGGAAACCGTGCTGGTCACAGAGGCTCAATGAGGGTCTCCTGACTACTTCCGAAACCTCAGCTTTCAGCATTTCATAGAAAATAAGTTTCGTTCTTGAAACTGTAAGTTAAACTTAGAGACAATTAGTTAGTGACCCTTCCGGGACTTGATTGTATCCATTGTCAATTGAAGTCCGTGTCAGCGGGAGCTTTAGTATAATAATCGTAGATGGTCGAAATATTCGATCGACTTAAGTGAAATTTGGACAAACTATAGTTAAGATAGGCAACAAGGCGCATCGCGTCACATGTGTCAAATTATGAGTTAAGCTGGAGTTCCAATCCTTTTTACCACACGACGTTGCCAGTCGTCGCTGTCGGGATTCCGCCATGGGTTTCCCTATGTAGTAAGTAAGTTATTTATTTTAGTGAGAGATTCTCGAGTGATAGGTGAGCAATCTAGCTAGTCATGGAGTGAGAGCGCAGCCTCTGCGCTCCTAGAAGCCACGTTGCCATACTGCTATCTTATAAAGAACATGACAAACACATACTCTGAAATTTCATAGCACGAAACGATCTTATGATAATTTAATGAAGAAATAAACTTTATTTCGTACGTTATAAGAATAATTGTTGTATGTTAACGTTTTGCGTTGTATGTGTACTGACATTCCATAGATGTAGTTCCTTTATATCGATGTAACACAGTGAGTGATCCAGTTCATCAAAACTGGGTTGAGTGCCGCGGAGACAACAACATTGGGTACAAAAATGAATTTNCAGTTACTGAGTCACCCGAAGGCTCACTGGTATCTGTCTCGAGTGAGGCCTTTACTGATGACATAACCGACACCACAGAGAATAGCGTGGCTGCAGAGGAGAAGAAACGTACAGAAGATTCCACGGAAACCGTGCTGGTCACAGAGGCTCAATGAGGGTCTCCTGACTACTTCCGAAACCTCAGCTTTCAGCATTTCATAGAAAATAAGTTTCGTTCTTGAAACTGTAAGTTAAACTTAGAGACAATTAGTTAGTGACCCTTCCGGGACTTGATTGTATCCATTGTCAATTGAAGTCCGTGTCAGCGGGAGCTTTAGTATAATAATCGTAGATGGTCGAAATATTCGATCGACTTAAGTGAAATTTGGACAAACTATAGTTAAGATAGGCAACAAGGCGCATCGCGTCACATGTGTCAAATTATGAGTTAAGCTGGAGTTCCAATCCTTTTTACCACACGACGTTGCCAGTCGTCGCTGTCGGGATTCCGCCATGGGTTTCCCTATGTAGTAAGTAAGTTATTTATTTTAGTGAGAGATTCTCGAGTGATAGGTGAGCAATCTAGCTAGTCATGGAGTGAGAGCGCAGCCTCTGCGCTCCTAGAAGCCACGTTGCCATACTGCTATCTTATAAAGAACATGACAAACACATACTCTGAAATTTCATAGCACGAAACGATCTTATGATAATTTAATGAAGAAATAAACTTTATTTCGTACGTTATAAGAATAATTGTTGTATGTTAACGTTTTGCGTTGTATGTGTACTGACATTCCATAGATGTAGTTCCTTTATATCGATGTAACACAGTGAGTGATCCAGTTCATCAAAACTGGGTTGAGTGCCGCGGAGACAACAACATTGGGTACAAAAATGAATTTTAAAATTGAAACAACCTTATGAAATATCTCTAGTGTATCTCTAGTTTAGAGTGTAAATGTGAACGCACATATTCGTAGTTTATATATTGCACCAATTCGGACGATCGCTATCAATCAATAAGTCCATACACAAAATAATTGTCAAGTGTTTCCGGTACTTTACCATATCATATTAGATATTTTCTTGAAAACGCTTTCTGCAGTTGTCAAATTTGATAGCGATCATTTATTATTATGAAGCATTCTTTGACGAGGCTCAGTGGTAGAGTTGAAGTTATGTGTTATCGATTTTTTCGTATGAACATTACGTTGTGTTGTCTGCAGCCGGTCGCAGCACGTGCCAGCATGTTGCCCCGGAAGACCTTTTCTTTTCCCGGGTAATAAGCGCACGTGTTCACTGTTTTATTTAAATATTTGTTTTTTTTTATAATCAATTAAAGAAACCTAGACTGATTATTGGTTTTATTATTTCATCACCCTATTTATTTTAAGACATTACGAGACTATGCGATACACCCGTTAAAAAAATAATCTCTGCTTGTTACTGAAAAATAAATTACGCCTAGTTGAGTGAAATCCACGTGATGGTCTATGATTCTAATGATGACTTCACGCATACCTACATACATAATTATGAAATTAGCAAAACTTCGGGTTCCAGTCCAGCTCAGGTATGGACAGTTTTTTTCTTCTCCAATAAAAAACCAATAAAAAAACCCACATCTGCTTCAGGATCCCAAGCGCGTAATCGTAGGACCAAAATTACTATATAAATGACATATAGATCATATAAGTCTTGATCTTGAGACGTTGTTTATGTTTATGACTCCGGTAATCACTTAACGACATGTGGGCCGAGGGCTCGTTTTGCCATCTAAGCAATAAAAAACCACGAGCGCCTGTTTTTTATGTAACATGATTGAGAGAAACACTTATTCTGTTGACAACACTAACAAGTGACTATCAACACACGCAGCAATATATGCCTACTTTTTTGCGGTTACAAAGCGGCTGCTGGGGCGTGAGAGGCAAACGCGAATTCATCTATCCAGTTGCGAAGTAGCTTAAAAAGAAAGAAGTTGGATACTTTTTTTTTTTTATTGCTTAGATGGATGGATGAGCTCACGGCCCACATGGTGTTAAGTAGTTACCGGAGCCTATAGACATCTATCTACAACGTAAATGCCGCCACCCACCTTGAGACATGAGTTGTAAGGTCTCACTTTTAACAGTACAACGGCTGCCCCGCCCTTCAAACCGAAACGCATTATTGCTTCACGGCAGAAATAGGCAGGGTGGTGGTACCTACCCGTGTGAACTCTCAAGACATCTTACCACCAGCCTTGCTACCGTGAGGACTCACAGTGTCGAACACACTGACCGTATGTATTCTATTGGTAACATCACCACTGTCAGAGAATGTCATGTTGCAACGTGCTTTCAACCCGTATCTTCGGTTCTTCTTTTTCATAATCATTTCGGTTAAGGTTAATTGCTGAATCTATAAAATATGTCATTTATTATTTATTGCCAGTGAGAGATTGGCCTAGTTTTGAGTGAAACCCGAAACATCACGATGTGAATTGTAGCCTGAAATTTCTAAAGTTTCCATTTAATAGCGCCTGTCTGTAATAAGTACTTTTCAAACCACGTCGCATGATTTCCATGCCGTCGGAGGTCATGACGATGGTACCCGGCTCTTCGGTTCACATGATCTGAGTAAACAATGATAACTGTATTAATTTTGACTCGGTGGTGCAGTAATTAGTGCCCTTGATTGCGGGACCGAAGATGGTGGGTGGTATCCCACATCGGCAAATATTCTTGTGATGAACAGGTTTGTTTGTTATTTGGTTATGTATGTATAAGTATTACATCAATCTCCGGTTCTTATAATCCAGGGGGAGACTAGTTGGGAACCGGATGAGCGTGCGTGACTTGTTTTCGATTATTATTATTTCTGTTTAATTTCCTACATTTTGTTAAATGAGCATAGATTTCGTGGTCACCGACGACTAATGTATCGATTAATTTTTAACAATCCGCTAACTGTCATCTAATAATTTAAAATGTTTCGTTATTGTCAGTTTGTTTGTTGGGCTCGACGATGCGGCTTGTTTGTTGGGCTTTTCCTGTATTCAAATATGGACTATCTCATCCTTCAAATTAGGATATAAAATGCCCGACAGAAGTAAGCAGCTGTAGGCATATAGCTACTTACAATAACGATGCCCCATAATTTGCTAAACCGGTCCCCAAAAGCTCACTCCTATTATGCATGCAAAAAGCCAACTTGTCTAGGTTGGAAACTAGGACGCATTCCTAGCGAGGAGCCCGCATGGTGCGACGACCTCGCTACCCATGTAGGGACAACTTGCGTAAATATATGCGCTGCATTACGTAAGGTTGAGATTACACTCAAATTGTAGTACCTACATTAGCCTACGGAGTGTGTAAAATAAAATGTATCGGAAATTGTGTGATAAAAGTACGCATGCAAGTTTTTTTTTTATTGCCTAGACGGGTGGACGAGCTCACAGCCCACCTGGTGTTAAGTAGTTACTGGAGCCCATAGACATCCACAACGTAAATGCGCCACCCACCTTGAGATATAAGTTCTAAAGTCTCAAGCACAGTTACAATAGCTGCCCCACCCTTGAAACTGAAACGCGTTACTGCTTCACGGCAGAAATAGGCAGGGTGGTGGTACCTACCCGCGCGGACTCACAAGAGGTCCTACCACCAGTAGTCGTAGGCTTGTCGTATTAAGCTAATGCTAGTTTCAATTGACGAAGAAAAGAGAGACTGAATTACACTGATTGACTTAGACACTGATCTTAAAGGTGATCCGCGACCGTATACGTTGATGCACGTCAATGAAAACTTTAAGGACTGATCCCAAACAAATTATGATAAAAGCCAGAAAGTTGACCTATTTAATGTAAAAAAAAAACATCAAAAATATCGTACCTTTTATTGAGAATATCCGTAGCACACGCCAAAATGATTGCAATTGTTTCGATTCCTCCCGCACTCCTGCCAGTGACGTTAAATACAGTATCAACAAAGAAGAATATTTAAAACTTTCTAACAATATCCTGTTGTCAGTAAAATCAAATGGATTCGTAAATGTTTTTTTGAATATTGATTGATTTCCTTTCTGAGATTTTTTCACACAAAGACGAACGAACGGTTACATAAATGCGAGTTATTCACGCGTCACAGAATTTATCTTTATTCATACTGCATTTATATTTCTTACGTGATTAACTTTACATTATTTATTCATGAAAATTTTGAGACATTTGTGATTTTTTTCATTTACATAATCTGAGGCTTTTACCTGTCAGACATTATCAATAGTTTGACCTTTAAACCTCGTATCTATTTGACTCACATTATGGTGACTGGTTTTTGATGAGGGTACAGGACTATGAGTATACGTCGTTTGATGGGTGAACATCACATCTTCCCGCACGTATACAATAGTAGTGTTTGTAATGTAGATACACAGAAGCTTACAACAATTTTTAGATCCGGTCAGACGAGTGAAGGATCTTTTAGCGCACTTACAAGTCCGATTGCCTAACTTACACTTTACGTGGTAAAAGCTCTGCTCATAAAAGTACATTCCGTTATATGAAAAGTACGGAAGCGATTACCCATTATGACGTGCAGTTGAATATCATCATATATAAATCCTCAGTAATGCAATAGTCCACGACTGTTGCGTTGCATCGGTTACATCAGTGCTGCATCGCGGCGTACAATGATGAACATTATGTTTGGGTCAGTCAAGGAAATTTTGTATTGTTTCGAACTTTTAAGATTTTATGACGCTTAAGAAGTTTCGGCGCACTTTGACCTTACGTTACAAAACGGATTCACGTTAATTTATGTTTTTTGCATGCTTCATTTGATTACACGCCGACAAAGGATACATATGTTACTACCGCGGCCCCGGAATCAAATATCTACAACAATAAATCGTGGAACAGCATAACGGGAGACGCAGGACTAAGTCGATTCGTATTTACAAGTTCAGCACACGACTGCCGCGCGGCTGGGTGGTGTGAAGTCGCGGTCACGGCCGAGGGTCCCGTTATGGTTGATCGTGTGGTCGACTCGCGCAGTTTGATTACCAGGCGCCATCACATTAAGCAAATGCGTGATGTGGCCGCGTCAAACTGTACTCCTTACGTTAGTTAATTTGTTAGTGAGCTTTGTAAAATAGGAATAAGAGGTGGTAAGGGCAGACTTCATTCTCACGACGGGTGGTCGCGGTCAACATCAGGTGGGCGGTGGGCTCGTGTAATCATCTACGCAATAAAAATAGTAATTTTTAAAACTTTTTATTTTCCCTACCTATATTGATAGCCCTGAGAGGCAATATCAGCGTTATCCTAGCATGTAGGTGAGCTCTTGGGGCTCAAAAAGGAAATGTTGATAACACTGGCCCTAGCAAGAGCAGTGCTTCGCAGAATCTACCACCGGATTGGAAACGTGACCCACTGAGAAGCGGAGATACGGCGAGGACGGTGGCCGGATAAAACAAAGAAAGACTTTCTTAGTACTGTAGCTTTGAGGCATTAGGGCATCATCGGACACACGTGGAGAGTCAAATAATGCTATTGAGAAGCAGGCAGACACCACGAATATGCTATCTTTTAATACGGACTCCTCTAACTTCTAGACTTGACCAATATGTGGCAGAGACTCTTTGTCGCAAATACATTTAAAATTTTCCCATGTTCTCGCGTATATGATTCAAAACTGCCCTTATGTACACTTATGCGTTTGTTTATTATTAACAAAAAGTCAAATCAAAATAATTTAACATACATCAACCCACACAGTAGAACAGATCTCCCAATGCGCTTGAAGGAGGCACAGTTCTCAAGATACTGGCTACGTTGCCTCGTTGGACAGCCAGACTCACTCTCTGTGCAAAGTTGCAAAGTACCAGCCAGCCTTAGCATCACGTGTAACCTCCTTCAAGCGTTTGAAGATTTCTGTTAAATGCGTTTGTTAATTTTTATTAATTGTCTTTTTATTTTATGGTTTATCGATTGCGATTATTTTGTATTGAAGCTAGTCAATTTCTGAACATCGCTAAAAAACCATCTATCTTCTTTATTAACTCTGTTGATCAAATGTAATATCTATTATTCCGTTTGATGACTAAGCACACACACATTTGTGTGACGACAAATACAACTGTGTGCTTAAAATATTTGACTGTTGTTTTTGCGTCGACTATGTTTGTATTGTCAATAATAGTCACGAGTATACCTACCATACGATTATGGCCCCAAGCCGTCACTTATTAGTATAGCTTTATCTACGAAAAGAAAAATATCAGAAAATCAGAGACCGTAAATTGCTAGCGGACATGTTGGTGTGAGCCCGCTGAGTTTGTTTCGCTGGTTCTTCTCAAGACTGTGGCTTTTTTTG